TCTGAGGTCCAGGGAAGCTTGATGGGGTGGTTTGCTCCTTTCTCTGCCCCAAGGGTCCGTCCTGCAGGGTCTTCAGCTCTGTCAGAGGACCCCTGGTGGCCCTCTTTCTTCTGGGTGGGGGGGGGTCATCCATAGCTTCACCCTATCCCAGCTCAATTCTCACCAACCTGCTGCTATTCCTGCCTTGGGGCTGCCATCTCTCTCTCCCTGGGGCAAGATCTAATCTCAGCCTAGTATTCAAGGCCCTGCTGCCCTATGTGGACCCTCTACAATTGCAGGGCCTTTGCACATGCCACCCCTGGACATCTCACACAAATGGAGTCCCTGTGTGTGCCTTTTGAGTCTGGCTGCCTGCACTTGACATGGCGTATTCAAGGTGGTCCAGGCCGTAGCAGGTGCCAGCACTTCATTCCTTTCTGTGGCTGCGTAACGCCCAGTGTCTGGATGTACCACGTTTTGCTTACCCACTTTCCAGCTGATGGACAATGGAGTCGCGTCTGCTTTTTTTTGCTACATATACAAAGCTGCTCCGCTTTGTATGAACATAACTTGAATTCTCTTGCACATACAGATCCAGGAATGGAATAGCCGGATGCTATGGTAGCTCCAGTGTTTGTCTTTCAGGGGACTGTCAAACTGTTGTCCGAAATAGCAGCACTGTTTGACCATTTTCCTGCACCCTCCTAACATATGTGATTACCTATCCTTTGGAGGATGTTCCTCCGAGTGGGAATGACGTCCTATTTTGTTGTGGTTTTGATTTGCATTTCTCACATAACTAATGCTGCTGAACATCTTTTCATGCTTATGGACCATCTGTGTGTCTTCTTTGGGAAAATACCTGTTCAAATCATTTGTCCATTTTAAATTTTGATTGCATCATTTGCCTGTTTGTTGTTGTGTTTTAAGAATTTTTATATGTCTGGATATAAGCCCCTCATTGAATATATAGTTTGTAAATGTTTTCTCCCAATCTCTGGGCTTTTTTTTCTGGTACTGGGGATTGAACCCAGGGTCGCTTAACCACTGAGTCACATCCACAGCCATTTTTTGAGACAGGCTCTCACTAAGTTGCTTAGGGCCTTGCTAAGTTGCTGAGGCTATCCTCAAATTTGTGATCCTCCTGTCTCAGCCTCCTAAGTCACTGGGATTACAGGCATGTGCCGTCACACCTAGACTGGGCTGTCTTCTTTACTTTTGTGATGGTGTCTTTGAAATACAAAAGCTTTTAGTTTTAATGAAGTCCAATTTATCTATTTTCAGTCTATTTTGCTTTTGGTATTATGAGGGGAAATAGAACTGTCTTCCATCTTAGGTTCATGGTTGAGGGCCCTATAACAAAAGACAGATTAATAAGAGAAAAGAATTCACTTTGATTTAATATAACTTTAATGCGAAGCAGGAGCCTTCAGAAATGAAGACCCCAAGAAACAGGGAAATCTGTGTAATTTATACTTAGGTTTGATGGAGAGTAGACATCTGTGGGGAGCCATGATTGGTCAAGGGAGGTACAGTCTAAAGGCCATAAAATAAAGGGACTTAGCAATGCCTGTGTGTTCAGACACTTTGGGGTCCCTGTGTCTCCAGAGATATGATGTTCTTTTTCTCTGGGATAAGCAGGGGATTTCTCCCCCACATGTTTTTTTTTATTGGTGCATTAGAGTTGTACATAGTGACAGGATTTGTGGTTATATGTTTGTACATGCACACAATATAACGATATATAATTTGTCCAATATCAGGTGGGAGAAGGTCAGAGAGGGACCTTCCTGCTTCTGCTGATTTCTCAAATGCCAAGACGTTGTATTTGGGATTGTGTGTTCTGAACCTCACCACTATCAAACCTGAGAAGCCTTGGCCTAATCTGAGGGTTGTCCAGATGACATTGGAGAATTGAAGGACTGAAAAACAAAAAATCCACTCGGCTCCTTTGGGCCAGGCCCAATGGCTTCTGCTTCACTTTTGATGGGCGGCAGTTCACCCATCCCCCTTCTCTCCAGGACAGCTTCCCCAAGTGTGGCTTGATCAGTAGCATTAGCAGATCCTGCAGTCCCACCTGGAGGTGCTGAACCAGCAACTCTGTGGGGAAGCCCAGAGATCTGTGTTATAAAGGTCACCCCGGGTTGTACATCAGAGCCCCAACTCTGCCTGACCATCCCTGAGGATTAGAAGAGGAGAAGTCACATCTAGAGGTTCTGATTTAATTGGCAGGGGTCGGGGCTGGACTTCCCTGTTTGTGCACCCCAGGCTTCAGTCTGTGCTTTAGGAGGCAGGTGTCACCGATTATCAAAATGTGGAGGTGCAGAAGCACTGGGACACTAAAGGATATGCTCAGGAGATACAGCCAGGTAGAGGGAGGAATTCTGCTTTTCCATCTCCCCTTCCTCTCATCCCTTCCTTTGGGTTTAACTAGGAACCACATAGAAGTTTTCTTTGGAAAAGCAAATGGTTCCTGACATCTCCATCTAGTGGCCAGAAGTGAGAACTGACAAGCATCTTCAGGGCACACAAGGGGTCAGAGCCAAAGTGACTATTCAGTTTCTGGAACAGATATTTTTGGGAGACTTGGGTCTAATTTTCAAAAAAGTGTTCTTTAAGAAGGAAAGGGGGATTGTGGAAGGGTTCGTGGTTGAGGGCTGTGGATGGGAGCTCCCTCCTGGTTTTTGGAGTGGCAGGACAGATTGGGTCCCTGTAGGGACAGATGGAGAGTCACCCAGGCAGGACAGCCTAGCTCACCCTCAGGGACTGCCAGACCTTTGTTTGCAACCTTGATTCAGTTGACAGACAGCCTGAGGGAGGCCCTGGCTTTCAGACACCATGGGGAGAGGCAGAGAATATTCTGGTTGCTCAGTCCCTCATGTTCTAAGCAGGTCCATTTTTGAGGAAAAGAGTCTTTTCTGGAGGCAGGTGGGGTGAGAAGGAGGGGGTACTCCCTGCTCAGATGGGGGTGTAGGAGTGGTTGAGGGAGGGGGACAGCCCCTTGGAGCTGGTGCCCAGGGTCTGGATAGGAGCACACAGAGGTGAATTGAAACTGGCTGCTGCTGTCCACCGTGCTGGCTCCTGGGGGCCAGACAAGAGCCCCAGGAAGTGTCTCAGGACTGCTATGCACGGGCTTCTTGCCAGGGCAGGGCATAGGAAAAAAGAAGGCCGTGGAGGAAAGTGGGGGGTCACTGGAGATTATGAGTTCAGGGAGCTCCTAGGATAGAATTCTATAAAAATGATCTAGTAGACAGAACAGGTTTAAGGACTTGTGCCTTTGGAAGGTGAGCAGCTGTGTGCAAGTGATCGTGAGAGGGTGCGTTGTCTTTTCACACTGATGCTGTTTTTGCTGAAACAGATGTGTGTCACCCACATCTGACTGCCAACTCCTTATTCCCAGACACATGTGACATCCCAGGGGAGGCAAAAGTCCAAGGAACACAGTTTGGGGAACATTGACACAGAGGGAGGTGTCCATTGGTATGCCACAGGGCTCTGTCCCAGGTCCATCTAGATCAGCGTGACTCAGTCACCAATGGGATCAGCGGGCTACACAGAGCCTGCTGGGATGGGGAGCGGATGGGGCAGTGGGATCCAAAGGTTTTGAAAGGGTAAACAAGTGGTTTAGAATATTAACATGTAATGTTACAATTTTACAAGTGTGAGTTGAAGGCCCTGAACTTGGGCTCAACAAACAAACAAAAAACAAACAAACAAAAAGGTCAAGATCAGCTGCCCCCAAATAGAAAACAACAACAACAACAACAACAACAAACAGGTGAGAGAAAGGGAGGGAACTTGGTCATTGGCTGGAATAATAATAACAATACTATTAATAAAAATAATGACAGGGAACATAGAGGACCTTATTTGGCCTTCACAACAATGTGTTGGGTCGCTGTTTTTATTGATCCCCACTCCACAGCTGAGGAGGTTTAGACTTGTAGAGGTCGGATCATTGTCAAGCCACTCACTGAGCATTATAAAGGGAGAGATCCCCCAGGGCCTGCCAGCTCTGGCCTGGCTAGACCGTGACTGGGACACTCTCTGTCTTCCTTTCAGGATAGCGTGGGGTGCAGGGGGAACCACAGTAAAGTTTAACCTAAAGTGGAATAGAAGGCCCTTGGGGGTGCTCAAGTAGGAGCTGGACCACCCTGTCATAGCGTTGCGATGATCCCAGATCAAATGGGGACTAGAAAAAAAGCATATTTATGGTTCTTCCTTCCTCTGCAATTCTATAGTTCTGCTGCAGTAACTTACTACTTTCAAAGTCAAGTTTACGATGCAGGAGAACTGTAATTTTTACACGTGGAATGTATGTGGTATTTATGATACTTGGGGTTTCTCCTATGATAAATAGATACACTATGTTTATTCCCGAGTCCTAGGACTTGTGACAAATTTCAGATGACCATTTTAAGGATTACTTTCTGGCTGAGTATTAAGATATTCATAGTTATGTGCCTATCCCTGGCACCTCCTTCCTTAATGAGGAAAGCGAGGCACAGAGAAGTTGAGAAGCTCACTCAGGTCACACAGCTAAGTCAGTTTTGTCTGCCTCTAAGTATATGAGATGTCCCTGAGTCTAGTGACTATAATATTACCCCGCCCAGGTCAATTTGTCACAGAATGGGTTTTCATAAAACAGGGCACATATTGGGATAAACAGGACTAACCTTTCCTTGCATGGCCTCACCCTGTGCCTGGCTTGGCACCTGGAGGGTCTTCAGAGATAAGTCCTCCATCTCTTTTGTCCTTCTTGGGACAGAGGTGCCACCGTGGGAACCCTGACTTCTGAAGGTCAAGGCTGCTCTCCCAGAGGGGCTCCAGCCTCCAGGTGCTTCCCAGGAATCCTCTCACCAAGAAGCATCTTTTCAGCCAACCTTAGAATTTTGCTCTGGGCTTCTGAACTAAACTAGTTCCACCTTAAATACGAGAAATCAATGCTCACGGCTGAGCTGTGGCTACAACATTGATTTGGCATAAATTTCGAGGCAGCCTGGCTAATAAGTAAGCTGAAAGGCTGTAAACACCAGGGAGGAATATTCCGAGGGGATTGGGACAGGTAGCTGCAGATGAGGGGTGGGGTGGTTGGCTCCACACCCCCACCCAATTCTGAGACCCTTGTCACCTGGAGGATGTCAGCAGCAGACGACACTTAGGCAGTACACTCTGGTTTGCGGTGGATTTGGGTAAGTAGTGGAGATTCTGGGGTCTCCCTGGGCAGGTGAATTAACCTCCCTGGATTTCTCACCTGGGAAACAGGAGAGACTTCTGGTGGGCATCATGTGGGATGCAGGGACAGTGTCACCTGTAGTCAGCTTGCTTATATGTGGCAGCGATGGCTGTCACACCATGAGAGTTAACAAAGAAGCTATCCCTCAGGGGCTCAGAGCCTATAGATGCTGTATAAGTGGCAGGTGGTGCCGATTTGGAGGATTTTGGTTCCCCCTTCAAGTCCTGGACCCTAGCTCTCCCTCACCACACTGCAGCAGTCCTAGGAAGAGTCATTGTCACTTCCCCTGGTGCCCTGGAGGCTCTGAATGTGAATGTCCTCCTGATTCTTCTATCTCAGAGTTCAGGGTCCTTGAGTTCTGCTGGCCATCCCGTCCCCCGCCACCACTGCTGGACTCTCTGGGTTCCCACATATTGAGCAGGGGCACACGGAGGTTCCCAGCCCTGCTTCCCATCCTGCAGGGGATCCCTCACTGCATTGCCGCATTTGTCATAGATGTCAACATCTTTAATACGGACTCATCGGAACCTCCTGTAAATAACTCTCTCTGCTTCTGCTGACTGGCAGGTGATGAGGAAGAAACACAGGCAAATTTGGAAAGCAATATATTTCCCCAACGTGATTTCTGTCTCTGGTCATAAACGTCAGAGATAAATGAGTTGATTTTATTAAGATCAGCACGTTGTTGCAGGGAGGCATTGGCTGAGCTGTGAATCATGGAGTCCCTGGAAGCCCCTGGGAGTCCCTCACCCCTGCACCTTCAGGGCAGGTGAGCCTGCCTTCCAGTGTGAGCACTGGGGGCCTCTGCATAAAAGGGCTGCATCTGTTCCTGCCACCTAGCACCCCTTCCCCTCCCTCCAGACCCAGGCCCTCTCATTGCACCAGTGTGAACCAGTGTGAACCTGGCGGATGCCACATGTTGTCCCTTTGGCCTGTCTTTGGTACATCACTGTCTGCCCCACCCTGGACTGGCCATGGCCTGTTTTCCCCATCACATCTCACGCTTTCCTGTCACCCAGTGGGGCCTGTGTGTGTTGAGTGGGTCCTGCGGATGACTCTGGAGTCCACCTTTTTGAAGTCGATTTTAGGAAATTCAAGCAGGTTCAATACCCACAGGTTCTTTCTTCCCTTATCCCCAACAACTGGCCAGTGACTGAAGTTCTATGTGTCTGGGTTTCCTATTGCTATGGCAACAGAGTACCACACATTTAGTGGCCTAAAGCAACCCAGACTTATTATCTTACGAGTCTGGAGGGCAGAAGCCTGACATGGAGATGACCTGGCCAACATCCAGGTGTCCGCAGGGTGACATTCCTTCTGGAAGTTCTAGGGAAGAGTCCACTTCCTGCCTTTCCCAACTTCTAAAGGCTGCTTGCATTCCTTGGCAGTGGCCCCTGCCATCTTCAAAGCCAGCAGCCCTGGGCCTCCAACAGCCGCTTCTATTGCCACACCTCCTTCTCCAACGTCAACCCTCCTATCTCCTTTTGCACACCTAGAGCCCTTGGGACTACCTTGGGCCGGCCTAGACAGCCCAGGACAACCTCCTCATCTCAAGGTTGTCTGATCAGCAGGCTTACTTCCATTTGTAATATTAATCTCCTGGTGGTGTTGTGGACACACTCAAGGTTCCAGGGAGTAGGATGTGGACATCTTTGCTCACCCCACTCCATGAAAGCTTCATGTCTTTGGCTTTGATTTGGATCAGGGAGGTGGGCCAGCCTGAGCTAACTGGGATCAAAGTGGGGAGAGGTGGGGCTGGGGTTGTGGCTCAGTGGCAGAGCGCTTGCCTCACACGTATGAGGCATTGGGTTCAATCCTCAGCACCACATAAAAATAAATAAATAAAATAAATGTATTATGTCCATCTGCAACTAAAAAAAAAATTAAAAAATAAAAGAGTGAGGAGGTATTTTGAGAGAGGGTCTGGGCAGGAGCATCTTCTAGCAGTTTCTATCTTCTTCTTAATGGGCTCAGGCTGAGGAAGGCCAGGATCAGGGGAGATTGAAAGCCAGGAAGGAGGAGCTCAGATCATTCATGGCTTCATGCCCCACCCCCATCTGCAGCTGATTTTCACACTCAAGTGACAGTGACAGACTTTGCTAATTGATCTCAGATCTCTTTTATCCATATCCTGGCCAAGGCTTATGGCAGAGCCTACAGTAGAGACCGGATGTCCCTGATCCTGCTTCTGCTTCCTAGGAACTGGAGGCTCTATTTCCCAGCCTCCTTGCAGTTTGGCTGGGGCCATGTATTGTGGCTAATGTGCCCTGGCCATCAGCCCACTGCATAATCCTTCATAGTCTGCCTTCCTCTTCTGGGGTGATTGTGGAGGCCCTTACTGGGAGGTGGGGGTGTCATAAAGTGGAAGGAGCCTGGGTGGCTGAATTCATCACTTGAAGGAAATTTGCTTGGGGGGCCATCTGCACTGGTTTGGATTGTCATGTGAGGCAGAAATAAGCAACTCTTTTGTTAAGTCACCGGGATTTGGGAACTGGGTGTTATCGCAGCTAATGTTACTTATCCTAGCTAATATGTAGTTACAGGCCACTTCCTAAAACTCACGACCAATCAGTCAGGGTTGGCCCTGGAGGTAAAAGTATTTCCCTCCCTTCTCCCATATTTTAATTGATGCTTAGACTTCTAATTGCAGTTAGACTGTTCTGAATTTCAGGCCCATGTAGCCTACAGTCTACCAAATAGCTCCAAAATGGGACATTCTGTTTCTTCCAAACCTGCTTCATAGCCTATGTTCACAGATTTAGAGACACAAGGCAGCCCAGATTCTCTTTGATTTATTTTTTCATCTTTCATGTCCAATATTTCTGAGAAACCTCCTTCCTAAATACCTCAGGAACCCGTGCCTCCCTCTCCTTTCTCTGCCTCCCCTTCCCTAGTTGGGGCCTCCCTCTCTGGGATGGACCACTGCTGAGACCCTGTTTAGCTGCCCTCCAATCTCTAGCCAAGTTGCCATGGTGATCTGTCCCCTGTGCAAATCTGGGCACCTCACTTGCAGACCTAATGCCCTTCCTCTTGTGGAATTGTTTCCTCATGGCCCTCAGGACCAAGGAGTCCCCACTGGGAGCCCAGCACCTGGAGATGGTGCCTTGGTGCTTGTGGGGTGAGGCAGTGGTCAGAAGTCAAGGGGACTTCCCTGCAGGTTCCACGTGCATAGATATCATCTGCTGCCAAGAAAGAATAAACCGAGTTAATTCTGGAACTCTTTGCTCCTCTCTCACTACCTACACCAGAGGATGGCATGATGTGAAGCTGGAAGAAACCTGAAAGTTTGTGAAGACCAGTGGACCGATTCACAGAGGGACCAACTGAGACCCGGTCAGGAAGAGAGCTCAGGGCTGGAGGTCAGGAGACCATATTCTAGTTCTGGCTTTGGCTCTGACTGGCTGTGCAACTGTGGGTGTCAAACCACTGTCCATTCTGACCTCAGCTGTCACGTCTCCAAAATGGAGCAACTGAGCCCAGCGCTGTCTCCCCTCAGCTCTCCCCTCAGTCCTGGTGACTGCATGGCACAGCCTGAACTCCCAAGTGTGTTTTGGGGTTCTGAGGATGTCCAGAATTAAGCTCACGGTCTAACCATGGACTAGATATGCTTCTAGAGAATTCTGCACTTCTGCACTGTGTAGACCTAGCAGGGCTCTCTGCGTTGGAGAGTAGTTGGGGTGTGGGCTATGAGTGAGACTTGAGAACCCCTCCTAGCTGGCTTGGAATGCTTCCTACAGACCCCTTCAGGAGGCCTGCAGGGCTGCTTCACTGCCTCTGGGAAGAGGGCCTGGCAGGACCAGGGAGGCAGGAAGGGCGCCTCCTGCAGGGAAAAGCCCTGCAGGTGCAACCACAGCCCTCACCTGCAGTGAGGAAACCTCCTAGATTTGGTGCCACCTGATGGCCAGCAGGTTTCCACTCTTAAGAAAACATGCACATAGTTAAGTTCACACATCTTAAATGTACGGCTCAATGAAAAAACTTCAGAAGTTCCCTTATATCTCTCCCGAGTCTGTATCAACCCCCTCCCCACCAGAGGTGAGCACCAGTCCGGCTAACCACACAGATTCCTTTGGCCAGTTACTTTTAAATAAAGAAAGTCACACGGTCACACGTGTCCCTCTGTGTCTATGTTCAATATGATGTCTGTGAGAGTCAGCTGCCTTGGCTTTTAGCAGGTTCATGAGGCTGCTTGTGCACCTCTGAACAGCCTTCTTGGTGCTTATTTCTGGAGCTCAGATTTATCAGAGAGAGAGAGAGAACTGGAACTCCTCTGCCTTCAGAAACTGCTGTGCTGTAAGTTGGGGGACAACTTCCTGGTGGTCTTCCTGGCATTCCTTAGGTTTGGGAACTGCTCATCTATATTAACAAGCATAGATGTCTTTTTTTTGGGGGGGAGGGTATTGGGGATTGAACTCAAGGGCATTTGATCACTGAGCCACATCCCCAGCCCTATTTTGTATTTCACTTAGAGACAGGGTCTCACTGAGTTGCTTAGCCCCTTGCTATTGCTGAGGTTGTCTTTGAACCCACAAACCTCCTATCTCAGCTTCCAGAGCCACTGGGATTACAAGCGTGCACCACCACACCTGGCACATGTATGTCTTTAAATGTGTTTTTCTGTGTATGGGTGTGTGTACCGACTAGCCCTATGCATTCCCACATGTGACCATGCATTTGACATGTATGTTGCCACAAAGAAATTTCTCCAGAGCTGTGTATTTTTTGTTTTAAAAGGATCTCTTCTGTCCTTTTTGTCCACTCTAGCAAGAGTCAGCCACTCAGGGAAGTACCTCTTCTATTGATGGAAGGAGAGAGCCGAGGCCGTGCCCAAAATATTTCTCCACCTTTGACCTTGGCCTGGACTTGTGCGGCAGGAAGCTCAGGTCCTGCCTCATGAAAGGCATTCTGTCAGGGCCTGGAGTGAACTTGAGTTCTTGTCCTTCTTGGGAAGAGCAG